CTTAAAAACAAGATGCAAACAATCAGAATATTGTACCTGGTGGGGAGTGCACAATGTAAACATGAAACATATGCCATTACCTATATTGTACTGTGGTACAGTTATGGAGGCCCTTCATAATGCAGAGGTCAGCTGCCTGCTCTGCCAATAGTTAGAAATGGCACTATAGTGTTTAATAAACAGCTGTTTTACTAAATTCTGCTGAGGTGAAATTCAGTGCAGTCATGTATCGTGATACGTATCGTATCGTGGCCTCTGTATCGTGATACATATCGTATCGTGACTTTGCTGGTGGTACACAGCCCTAATATTTGATGCTCACATTTTAACATGATGTATGTATAATCAAGTAAATCTAAGTTGCTTCAGTCCAGTAAGTGTTCATCTTGAAATATTATAACAATATAAAAGTTATTATTATGTTTATTTCATAAAAAATCAGTAAGGATTTAACAGCAAAAAAGACGTGTACCATGATCTGAAGGAGGACAGTTGTAGAATTATACTAAAAGGCTTTTTACTTGCTAAAAATGCTATCAATTAACTATCAACCAAATGGCAGAAGAACTATCAATCTGATGGCTTGCAGTATAGACTGTGTACAAGTTTTTAAAGGTTTTTATTGTGTTGATCATTTAGAGGCTTTATAGGGTTCAAATAAAATAATTCACCAATAACCTACTTTAAATGCTGATGTTGGTTTATCAAAAAAGAAAGAAAGAAATAGTAAACCACTAGGAGGCACACAGTATTAGCATGCAGCATCAGGTGGTGAAGTGCATAGGAGTTCCTCTTCCTGTTTTGGGGGCAGAAAATAAAATAAACAACCTATAAATTTCTGCCCTAAGTAATGAAAATGAGCTGTTAAAGTTTCCTTAAACTCTGCAGTATTATTAGGCCAAATAAAGAATTTCTCTCAAATCAAATTGCAATAAATTATCACAATCAACAAGCGAAATACATAACACTTGAGATAGTGAAGTCAGAATATGTTTCTGAATTGAGTGTGTGTTGTGGGATCAGCACAGACGCTTTAATTCAGACTGTCTGCTTACAGAATAATCAAAACTTATTTGATTCTAAAATTTCAAAGGTCTCAACTTCTGACAAAATTATCTGAGAAAATTCCTAGTTTACATATCTGGCATGTCTTGCAAATATAGTGCATGCACTAAATCCAGTGAAATCAGTTTAGGAGGCTATAAAAAAATCTAAAACAACAGAAACATCACTACTGCCTCCATCTTGTCTAAAAAATGTTTAAGGTGGCCTTGGGCCTCTCGTCACCTCTTTGCACTCTGGTATGGGACTGATGTTTTCTTCCTGATAGCAATCTCTAAACCACTCAGCGGTTAACCGGTCTGCCTTTTTTTTCTTTCTTTTTTAGTTTCAGTACAAACTAGAGAGCTGTGATCATTTGTAGCATAGTTTCACATCATGAGTAAAATGATGTGTTTTTCATCCAGTGAAACAATGCAGTAAAAAGTGAGTGGAGAAAGGTTACTTTTACTGTAAATGCATTTAATGAGAGCTTTAATATGCATATGAAAATCCATAAGGGGCTCCTTATCAAATGCACTACATTTTTGAAAACTTAAACCAAATTGGACAAATGGCCTCATTGGAGTTGGCTGCAGTGGAAATAGTCACACACCATGAGCCAAGAGAGTGATCAGTGCTTCTGGCTCTTAGTCAGCATGTTAGCAGAAACGATTAATTCTGCTGATTGTGTTTGAATGAAAGATGTTAAATCCAGTGATCCCAGATTGTACAATCACAGGCTGGTGAGAGCTATTCATAAGCACACTCTCATTAAAAAATTAAAAAATAAACAAATTTGGTTGGGGGTGATATAATTTGTGAAGCCAACAATATGTTTGCTATGAATGAGAGTTTACTAATGGCAAAAGCTGTTTTGAATCACTTTTATACTTTTCTGAGGTGAAAAAGTCTCATTTGGGGGCCCTGGAATATTTCCTTATGGGGGGCCTTGGGATAAAAAAGGTTGAGAACCACGTTATCTTAAGTAAATACACTATATTTTAATGTTGTGTTTTAATCCTTTCCCCCAACTAAACTAAGAGACTAAGAGAGAGTTAGAGAACCTTTAAAGAACTATACAGGGGCTAAAACCAGCCTAAGCTTGTTGGCTGGTGGTCTTCTTAGCTGGTATAAGCTGGAAGTAGTTAGTTTTAGCTAGTCTCCCAGCCTGGCTAAACTGGTGAAGCTGGTCAGCTAAGACCAGCCTGACCAGCTAAAAAAGTGGCCAAAACCTCTCTAAAGCCAGCCTGCTGACCAGCTATGACCAGGCTGGACTACCAGCTAAAATAAGCCAACCAGCTTAGGCTGGTTTCAGCTGTTTTATTTATTTATTTTTTCAGCGGGGAAAATAATATGCTTTAAAATAGCATTGAAAAACACTGAATTCAAAACTTACTACCACAAACGTTATGTCGACATCTCACCACCAGAGGTCAATATTACTTAAATTCTGATTTCTGTTTTCTACAACTCTCATAGTGTACCACTATGCACGTTTCCTGCTGAGTTTGCGTTAACTGCATTTGTTCACATGGCTATCAGTGTATACATAATCACTTCTGATCTCAAAAGGTAGATTTAACATTTAGATTGAGTTCATCTCTCTTCTGAGACTAGCAACAGATTATGCGTAAACAACTCATCACTGCAGAAAAACAGAGATAAGTGTGACTTCCTATCCCAATTGCACTGACAATAGACAACTCACTCTCTCTTTGCTTGTTACCTGATAATTCTACACAGAAGTGACCGTCTGAGGAAATGCAACCGTGGTTTGGTCAAACAGAGATAAGTGTGACTTCCTATCCCAATTGCACTGACAATAGACAACTCACTCTCTCTTTGCTTGTTACCTTTGCTTGTTGTGATCTTCACATTCCCTCAGTGACTTGCTTGCTACAATGTAACATCAAGGCTCTGGATATATAAATCTACCCTTTACCCAGTACAGAGCCCTTGTTATAGAGGCCCAAAGGGCTAGATGAAAGTATACAACATGTTAAGGCACTATGCTGTAACATGAAATAATTAAACAATTATTCTCTAAAACTATAGTGCCCAACAACTCTGCCAGGTCCTTACTTTTTGAAAACAGCCAAAAAACACTGAACTGTATTACGTATGCTTAAGGAATATTTAAAATATTTTTACAAATATATTATTGTGTCTCTACCTAATGCAGAACGGTTTGAAAAGAAAAGAATGTGTCTGCACAAAAATTATGCATCTGCACATCAAAAATAGGTCATGAAGTTTCCAGTGCTATAAGTAAAAATGTCAAATTTGACAATACAATCAGCCTCTAAATGCAAAGTTAACATTCAGTGCTCCACCGAGTGCCTCAATCTTCAAATATGTAAAGGTCATATAGACCATCTGTTTTGCAGAATTGCCACTTACTGTTATTTTAAAGTTACTAAATATAAAGTGATGAGATTTGACAGTCATAATGTGTTGAAGTTAGAATAGGCCTACTTACTAAAAGTAACCTAATTCATATTTGGTATTGCTTGTTTCTACAGCAATGTTACTTTGCCATGCACAGAATTCTTATGGACATTTTATTTTGATGGAGATTATTTTGGGCTGAGAATACAACATCTAAAAGCAGCATGCACACTGTAATTTATTCAAAGGTTAGATACTTGAATGCATACATTCAATTCACTTCACATTTTATTTGTATATTACTTTTTATAATACATATAGTTTCAAAGCAGCTTTACAGAAAATGTATGTTTCATTGAAACATTTGGCCCTAATAAACTGGGAATCTAGCATCAAATAGAGAAATTTCCTATTAAATATTTGAGCCTCAGTGAGCAGCCATAGGTGACTATGTCAAGCAAATAAAATGTCCATCGGTGGTGAGGTGTTGGTGATACCTTGAAAGAAAGCAGACTCATCTAGGACCCATCCTTCTTTGGCATTAAAATGATGATCATGTGCATTTGTTGCAATTTCATCAGACATGGCTGAAATACTAGGGTATAAGATGTGTTATGTATTATTTTCCCATCACACTAATTCTAAACACACACACATTTGTTTTTCAGGCGGTTCATCGGGATAAATCCGAAAAAGGGCACCAAGGCTGGAGGAGTCATATCAAAGCGGATGGGGAAGGTCACCTAGAAAAAGAAAACGGTGAACCCTAGTGTCTCCAGTCTGGTTAAAAATGTGTGGTACCCCTGTAAACACCAGGAAACCACAACAGCTCTGAAGATTTCTCAAATAAGCTCTGCACCTTTTACATTCTTATTCTTCAGGTTGCTGCACAGTTGAATTTCAAAAATAAATCTCACTAACCAACTAGTACATTTTTCTCACTTCTTTTTTTAACTGCATGCATGTTGTTTTTCTCTTAGTCTTGCTAAGAGAAACTGATTTTGCATTTATGAGAGAACTGATTAAACATTATTTATTCTCATCACAAAAGATCCCATGACAAACATTTGCAATTGAATACTCACATCAATTGTTGAGGAAAAACAGCTTTTTCAAGAGTTTAAAAAGTAACTATACTCCTGACCCAATTAGCAGTAAGTCTCTCTAACTATCTATATTGACATGATGGAAATATACCAATATACCAGTAATTCACATTTCAGAACTGTGAGTTTTAAGAAAATGCATCTCTTTGTGATAAATTTAAACGTTTTAAGGAAATAGATAGAGAGAGAGAGAGCGAGAGAGAGCCTGTTATTGCAGTTTGTGGTTTCGAATCATGTGACATGCTAGGTTTTCTCTACTTTGCCCATCACTTGTGCACAGATGGCAAGCAGCACAGAGATGGCACTCTCTGATGTTACAATGAGCTCCACAAGCTATTTTTATACTCATGCTTTTTCAGTGAACTCCACAGATGACTACGACTACTATACCCCTGTCGAGAATGATTTGCTATTGCTGCCCATGTCCAATATCTACATTCCTGTGCTGTACGTCATCATGTTCCTCGCCGGCTTCTTGGGGAACCTGTTTGTCATCGTGGTCATTGGCAAACGGCGTAAGAAAAACGGACGGCTTGTGGACACCTTCGTGATGAATCTGGCATTAGCCGACCTTGTGTTTGTCTTCACGCTGCCTTTGTGGGCGGTTTCGGCCCATTATGATGAGTGGCCCTTCGGTGAGACCTTGTGCAAGATCAGCAGCTTCATCATTGCGGTCAACCGCTTTTCCAACATCTTCTTCCTCACGTGCATGAGTGTAGACCGATACCTGGCTGTTGTGCGTCTCATGGACTTTCAGTTTCTGCGGAGCAGTAACTGTGCGCAGATTACCTGTAGCGTCGTGTGGATCATTTCTTTCTTCCTGGGAATTCCATCGTTGGTGTACCGTCGGTTGAAAGACGATACCGTGTGTTGGGAGGATTCAAAATCCTCTTTTGTCCAAGGAATGAATCTCCTGACTATATTTCTAACCTTCCTGCTCCCAGTGCTGATTCTCTGCCTATGTTATGGGTCGATTTTGGTTAACCTGCGGCGTCACAGTCACACCGCCGCAAACTCACGTGCAGAAGCCAGAAGACGGCATTCGGTCAAAATCGTGCTCGCCATAATTGTGGCCTTTCTGATCTCCTGGCTGCCCTTCAATTTGTTCAAGACCATCCAGGTCATCGTACTGATGAGCACAGGAGATCTTAGCGGGAAAACAAGAGTGATCGTACTTAGTGGACTCACGCTGTCCTGCTGCCTGGCCTTTCTCAACAGTTGTGTAAATCCAGCCATCTACTTCTTTTTGGATCAGCATTTCAGGCGCAGAGCTTCAATCCTGTGTCTGAGCTGCCTGGGTCAAGGAGACGTGCACCAGACTTATATCTCCTCTAATTCGCTCTCTAATGGCACATCTGAGTCTTATTCTGGAAATACATCAACCCGCGGACGGCTTTTTTCACTTACTGTAAAGGAGTGAATCCTGCTTTTCTGTTTGCTGTTTTCAGAATGCTCTCTTTCGTTATCAGTGATACTATCAAATAAAGCTGTCATTAAGATCTTCAGTTTTAAGCATTTGTTAAAATGAGATATTTATTAATAATTTAGAGCATTTAAAGTGAACATTTTTGAGCAATGTTCTATACATTTCTATATTTAATTTCCCACATAGCTTATGTGAACATCACGTAGTGTACAAGATAAATTTTGTTATGTACACATTTTGACAGTATTCAATAATTTAGAAAGCATCATTAATCTACTTGGTCATTGCAATTTAGTGACAATTGTGAATATTCAGACTTTATTATGTTCATACTCTTCTAGCAACTTTAAAACAAATGCTTTCTTTTTATATATTTACTTGTCTATGTATGACAGTGTAATAAAATATTGCATATATTTTTGCTTTTATTTTATATAATTTTTGAACAATGGTCTATACATTTCGATATTTACTTTCCTACGTAAAAATAGATTATGTATTGGTGAACATATTGCTTAGTGTAGAAGATTAATTAAAATGATTTGCAAGCAATTAAAGCATTTAAATACATATTTTGACAGTAATCTTAAGTAATCTAGAAAGCATCATTAATCTACATGGTCATTATTCCTGTATACAACTTTAAAATAAATGTTTTTTTTAAATATATATTTACTTGTGTATGTTTGTAATAAAATTTCTTATAGTTATCAAAGTCTCTTTCAATTTTATTAAGTATATTGTAGCTTAAACAAAAAAACTTGAATCACTATATATATAAACTCTTAAATTCAAATAGTTTTGAGAAACATTTTATCAGTTTCAGTATCAGTCAAAACATTTTTTAGCACTGATCAGTCATCATTGCTACAATCACTGAAAAAATGAAGATGGAATATGGTTTTAGAATAAATGTTTCGATTTATTCTGGAGAAATTTACTGGAAATCTTTTGCATAAATTTAAAATGAGTGGGCTGCGGTGACACTTAGCAGGTCAATAGTTTACACTTGGTGGATTGGCATTAGTTGCTCTTCAAAATAAATCACATGGCAAGTTTTGAAACTAAATGATTCTTACATGTACCGCTCAAAAGGCAAACTTAGGTCACAACTTTCATCTTTGAAAAAACTAAAGAATACTTTATGTGAAAATGCATGGGGGAAAAAAGTTGCCACAAAACAAGACACTGACAGTGGAAGAAAAGCTACCAGCTACACAAAAGTCTTTCCATTGCCGTGTGTTGCCTTCCACAGTGAAATAAATCATAAAATAAATAAACTCTTAAATTCAAATAGTTTTGAGAAACATTTTATCAGTTTCAGTATCAGTCAAAACATTTTTTAGCACTGATCAGTCATCATTGCTACAATCACTGAAAAAATGAAGATGGAATATGGTTTTAGAATAAATGTTTCGATTTATTCTGGAGAAATTTACTGGAAATCTTTTGCATAAATTTAAAATGAGTGGGCTGCGGTGACACTTAGCAGGTCAATAGTTTACACTTGGTGGATTGGCATTAGTTGCTCTTCAAAATAAATCACATGGCAAGTTTTGAAACTAAATGATTCTTACATGTACCGCTCAAAAGGCAAACTTAGGTCACAACTTTCATCTTTGAAAAAACTAAAGAATACTTTATGTGAAAATGCATGGGGGAAAAAAGTTGCCACAAAACAAGACACTGACAGTGGAAGAAAAGCTACCAGCTACACAAAAGTCTTTCCATTGCCGTGTGTTGCCTTCCACAGTGAAATAAATCATAAAATAAAATAAAATAAAAAATATATAATTGTATTTAAAACAATTCACAAATAAAATTGAAATGAACGGTCAGTGTCTGAGTCAATGAGTCAGTTCAATTGTTGTCAGCGTAAGTGATTCATTTCAGTAAATGAGTGGGATGTTTCTGAAAGTTCGATGGTTCATTGTTTTCTTGTAGGTATGGCACTTAGTTTTTTTTTTTAAATCATCAGATTTAAGTTTACTGAAGGGTGCCCATTATCACTAAAGCTGTACATTCCATCAGCATAAAAAAATGTATAAAAACAAATTAATTAACTGACCAGGCTTCATTAACTTTACTTACTTGCTTTATGTGCCGTCAACAAAAACAGCTGCCACTTTACCCCAGCACATCAATGTCACATGTTTTTGCTAAGAAAAAATAGGTTATGACCTATTCTTTACTTTTATGTTCACATTTTACAACTGCCCTCACAGACCACATTTTAAAAATTGACATAAGAACCCCGGTGAGAATGTTATGCCACAAACATTCTCATGAACATCATTCCCCTGCATAGATAAGCTAGGCTACTCTCGGTTTGATTGTGACTCTTCTTTCACAATTACTTTCTCCACAACATTAAAAAACACTGTGTCTTTTAAATTTGTGGAGAAAGTAATTGTGAAAGAGGATTCACACAACAAAGACATAACAAAGGGAATGTTTTAATAAAACTGAAAGGTTTGTATACAATATTAGATGAGAACTTCCA